CGCTGTGCCCTACAGCTCCCCTTGCCCCGGCCGCCATTGGGAAGCAAGCAGAAAAGGGAAAAATCGCCACACGGGGAAGAGCCCCGCAGCCCGGCTCCCTGTTGGGTGGCGCTCAGCAAATGGCGCTTCTCCTGGGCCGCAGACGGCCCGCTTTCATCAGGGGAGGAGGAAGAGCCATCTCCAGCCGCTGCCGCCGCAGGAGAGGCCTCAGAAGCGTAGGCTGAGAGCGGGGAGCGCAGGAGTGTCTCCTGGGGTGGTGGCCCAGTCATGGTGATCAGGGGTGCGGCACGGACCAGCTTTGGTGTCAGCGGAGTTAAAGGTTTAATTGCCTGTGAGAACCTGCAAGGACAGCACAGGATCTTTCCTGTGGTGTCACTATCTCTCCTTGGTAGTAGGTAGCAGTTGTAAAAATACCACGCGTTCTTGTTTCAAGCGGTCAGCCAGCTCCAGTATGACAGAGTGGAAGCCAAACCCCGAGCAACCCAACAACGCTCATGTGGCTGGTGCTTCTCCGGACAGCTCCAAGTCCTTTGCAAGTATGTGAAACAATGGAATACGCAGGAAAATTTTTACTAGTAGGTAACAGCTGTTCAATCAACTGCTATAGTCCACTGTTTTATTTAGAACTGGGTTGGATCAGAAACAGATTAAGATGTAGTTTGTCATCTCAGTAGAAAAGACAAGCCTACAGAGATTCATTACCTCAAGGAGTAATCAAAGCATATGTCATCATCTCGTGTTTCATCTCAATAATTCACACCCTCTCTGCGTTTTTATCTTTGCAAATTATTTCCTGAGGGTATAAGTTACCAGTTTCTGCATTCATTTTTCACAAAAGGAACTTACAAGTTGTCTTTTTCTCTCATTACACAGAGTCAGGAACCTTGCTACTGCTGCAGAAAAAAATAATAATTCTTTCTCTCTGTTTACCAGGCTGAAAAAGTTCATACATCTTCAACCAGAAAGTTGGATTTTATAAATTATTTATTCACTTGATAGAAACAAAGGCAATAAAGATACTTTTAAACGATTTATTGATGTAAATGAGTGGGACCATTTTTAAATAATCGTTGAGCATGTTTAAATTCTTGCTGAAACTACTCTGGGAAGCTGGATCCTTTTTAAGCATAACTGTATATGAGGGAGATGGACTATTGTGTGGAATTTCCCAGTTGGGAATCTTGCCCTAAGTAAATGTAAATGATGCAAATTTATGGAATCTTGGCATCTATGACAATGCTAGTCTAAGAGGATGGCACAGCGCCCCGTCGTAATGTGGTTGGATCTTTGCCCTGTTGCAACATAGATGCCAATTAGTTATTTGTTGCTTATGGCCCGTGGGCCACCTTGCACTGGTTCACACCTGTTCACGTCAAGTGCCAAAAAATAATACATGAATAAAGGAAGAAAAATCACAACGTTAATGAGAATTTGAATAATGCTACCTGTTTTTGAAACATATAGCGACAAACCTTCAGATTTTGGTTTTAAATAGAATTGCAGATAATTGCCTTCTGGTTCAGTATTTCACTCAAAACTACTTAAAAATCTTTTTGGTCAGCCTAAACCAAAAAGCCATTTGGGATTTAATAGGACATTTTCCTTGTGAAAAGGTTATGTTCCAGTTTGCTTCTGGGTTATTTCCTTTTCTCTTTAGTCACTGTTCAGTATTTTGGACTCAAGATGGCTTTCAAACATTTTTGAAACAAGACAGTAAGGTTTCATTTTGAAAGAGGAGGAAAAATATTCCTCACTTTACTCATTCTCCCATATTTTTTCCATTTAAACTGTTCACTAAATATGCCTGAATATGCAAACCAATGTGACTGACTTTTTTTTTCCCCTATAAACTAATTTTCTGAACATTTGTTTTGCAACCTTAAATAGAAGTGACCAACTGTGAGTGGCTTAGCAGAGAAAAAGGGTATGGGTGAATGAGGTAGAGCATGATGTGATGCCACATCTAAGCTCAAAGTGTTTGTTTCCAGAGATATTCCATCATATCCAAAAAAGACAGAACAGTAATTAATAAAGACTCATAAAGAGGCTTACTCCGCATGTTATCTAGACAGATTAATATGGAGTGAAAGCAGGAGACTACGGGAGAGCTTTTGTGGCTCCCTGGTTGATACTCAGCTAATGCTCATTTAATTGTGTTTCTTTTCGCAGCTCCAGGTACTTCCTTCCCCTGGCTTCCACCTTCATTTATCTCTGTGTAAAGAACATAGCAGCATGCCCTTCTGGTTCAGAAGGTAGCTGGAACAGTGCTATTCAGGAAAAATTCCGCTATGTCCTTCTCTAGCTTTTGTAAAGGGACTTTGGTAAGGCAGACCACAGAATCTAGTCCCGCTTATTCCATAATGTTTTCTGAAAGGGACATAAATCCATCTGGAGCCTTTTTATGACTGCTGAGCACACTGCTACAGTAATCATTCCTGGAGCTGGAATAGAAATATGACTTGAAACAGTGAGGTTGAAAACCTCTGTTGCAAACATGACAAAAAAGGCTAAATACTAGATGTTAGGATGTTGGTGAGCAAGAGAATTTTCTCTGCAAAATCAAGTAATTTAATTGATCATTTAAATTCCTAATAAAGTGAATTCCAACATTAAAAAAAAAAAACAGTACAGCACAAAACCCAGCTGATCACCTGTATCACTGTTTCCAAGGCAGAACTGCATAGCTAATGCCACCAAATACAATACAAATACATGTATTACTCAGGCTTGTCATTTCTCATTCTATTTATACTGTTCACCTAATCTTCACTTTCAGTGTTTCTACTCTGTATGAGATGGATGAAATAGCTTTAGCTGTTTTGTGCGTTAAGCTGTCACGCACCTTCTGTCAGTGACCCAGTTCTAATGGTATTCACAGTGAAGTTTTGGTCTTTACACTGCAATACCAGTGTCTGGCAACTGGCAATATGCTGTCAGCCCTTAAGACAGCACAGGTCTTTGGGATATGCTGTACTGTACCTCAGTAGGATCACGATAATGACAAGTAATTATATTGGCTGCATATCATCACAGTGCCTCCAGGCTGTTTCCTTAACTTCACCTCTGTGACAGCATTCTTTTTTCAAGACTCACTTGAGAAATAGCATATGACTAAAGAATGCCAGTTCTGAGTAAAATAAAAAATTAAAGGTAAAAGGTAGTTACATGAATTGCAGAGGCATTTGTTAGGAGCAGGTTTGACCAAGACTAATCAATTAACCTTTACAGAATGATGTATTATTATGCTCAGCAAAAAGCAATACACCAGTCCCGCTCTAGCCAAGCAATGCATGTTGCCTGCACAGCTGAGAACTGCAGCTGCACAATGCATATCCGTTGTCGGTCCCCCCCCCCCCCCAAATCTAGAAAAATGGTAAGAAATACAGATCTTTCCAAAAGAATTCAGGAGAAGTTATAGGTCTGGGACCTTGACACGATCTAGACAAAATCTACGCACAATGTGAACCTAGTGGTATATGCCATTAGAAGAGTTCTGCATTAGAGATTTGTGTAATTAATAAAAATACTCATAGTTACTTTAAGATTCTTTTTGTAGGAGGCATATAAACACTCATGTTCCGGGGCATAAGCTGACCACCGAATTAAGGAAGATTAGGAAGAAATTTCTCTTACAGGCAGGTTATTCCATAAGAGCATATTATAAATATTCTACATCTTCCCTATTAGTCACTGCCGGGGACAGGATAATTAAGTAAACCAACAGACAGCCTGGTCCCATGTGGCAATTGCTAGATCTACATATAACCAAGGTCCAGTCATAACTGCATATGATTTCCATTTCCATTATTATTTTCCTTCTTCATATAATGAGAAGGAGATCTATCCTTGTTTGCAGTGATGCAGTATGTTGAAGTGACAGCTTTGCACTACTGTAATCTCATTCTGGCTTTCATATTTACATCTGATAAAAAAGTAAGTGTAGATATGCAAATACACATTAGGAGTTAAAAGTAAAGCTATGAGGTTTAGGGAGACCTTAGTGAAATAGCTAAGTTAACATTAGTTTTTAGCAACAAAGCTCATCAACACATCATGGCTTTAAAGAGACAGAAAGAGACCAGAGACTATGCTGTCTTCACTGTCAGGACAGACTTGGTTGTACAGTAATTGCCACAGCTGAGCAATGCTCTTAGGTGCTAGCGCTAATTATATATATAAATATACATATGTGTGCATCTCTATAGTACCCCAAATCAAAAAGCCCTAGAAAGCCTACACCTGAACTAGAAGGTGACACACTTCAACTGCAGGGGCAGATCCAGCCCCAGCCTGAGCAGGTGGGCTTGCAGAGAGCGCACGGCACAGCCACAGTTCCTGGGCAGAATGGAGCCTTCCCAGGCCCTGGGGAAACTGTGCCTGAAAAGGTGGGTCCAGAAAGAGAAGCACATGGGGAGTGGAGAGATGCTGGCCAGCAGGATTAATATCAGGTCCTAACTTGTCTCGGTCTCTTTGGGCACCTGAACAAAGGTGACTTCTAAGGAGGGCCAGGGGGAGAATTACACCTAGTTTTACTGCTATTTATGCCTTCCAAATATGAGATGACATATATAAGAAAGCAAGCCATGGAAATCCGACAGGTGTGCAGTGGAGGCTGGCATCAGGACACTTCAAGAGATTTAATCTGCCTGTACTGAGAGAGGAGAGAGAAAAAGGGTGGAGATGAACTGTGGACAGATTTAGAAGAGAAGACGGTTTTTGACTGATGCATCATAGAGAGGGGAGTCAGTGGAGGGATGCAGAGAGGAAGGTTCTAAGGCAAAGAAAGGAAAAAATACCATTCCCAGGAGTGTTGTGGGCAATTCACCCCAGGGCAAAAGAATATGAGACAAGTTTCCTAGACCTAATAAGGCATACCTGGGAGTTGCACCTCAGAGAAGTCTGCAGAGACACTACATTGAGCTCAACTGTGTCCTCAAAACTCATCCCTCTTGTGATGCTTACACAAGAAGTTCAGCAATGATTAATCTGGTGGTTTCCTGTCACTGCCATTTAATCAGCCAACCACTATGATCTCACTGTTACCTTGTGCTTGCATTGTTTGTTTACTCTCTAGACCCCTTGGCTCTTAATTTTGATTGCAAAGCGTTCAAGATAGTGATTTAAAAAAAAAAATAGAATGCTAACACAGTGAGGCTTAGAGGTTGGCAGTTCTGGCTTAAAGTACTATTTTCTCTCTCACTGTGTTATCCACCCTTGTCCTCACACCAACACAACCATTTCTACAGCGTGCTATGAACTGAGCTGGGAGACTGATTTGGCTAGGAACACTGGAGTGGGGGAAATCACTAGGTTCTTTGCTGGATCAGTTCCCCCGTCTGGTTGGGAGCACAAAGAGGTGTGCCAGTTCAGTGGAGCGAATGGAGCAGTACAGGATCAGGGCAGGAAAGGGGGCTGGGGGACATGGCCATCCATAATGCAGTATTGCCACTAAGCACTTCAGAGCACTACATCACAACTGTACGTGGCGATGTCTAGCTATTACCTCAATATAAATAATAAGGACTCATAATAAAAGAAGTGCAAATTTAAAAAAAAAAAAACAGTAATCATGCTCCCCTAACAAAATTCATCATTCATAAGTAGTTGTAAGAAATTCAATAAAATATTAACAGTCTAAATCAGAGACAAGACCGTGGTTAATTCTGAACTATAGACCAAGCTGGACCTTGATTTTCTTTGTCACTTGTGAGAGCCCATGTTGTACCATACGGTCAGTAGCTATGCAAACCGAAGTCCTTTCTTTTGTAAAAAAAATCCAACAGTTGGTTCAAAGAACCTCACAGCAAGAATGTGAAAGGCAAATGACAGACTAGGGCAAAGGAGGAGCATTCAGTTATGTTTTCATGAGGTGCTTTCAACTCAGTAACAAGCTAAAAATGTAGCTTTTTGCCCCTTTTAATTTTGAAAAACCAAAGACGGGGCTTAAAATAACATTTCTTACATTGATAATTTTGTTGTTTAGGTTGTGATTGCTTTTTAAACCTACTAGTTCATTACAATCTCTGCTTTTTTCTTCCACTGACTCATTATTTTGGTTATATAAAATTACTGGTGCTTTTATCATTCCTGTGCCTGGTTGGAGAACTAGCAGAGAAACATTTGTGTACACAAAAGAAAAAAAAGCAAGTAAGCCTTACTTCATGATGTATTCTTTCCACAGACAAAATAAAAGGAGAAATCTTGGACCCGCTGAAGTGAACAGAAATAAATCACATCTTAAATTCAGTACTGTTACGATTTGACCTCGGATTTTTTTCCAGAGTTGGGAGTACCAGACTGAGTCCACCTGGAGTGTCTCCTTTGGCATTCAGCTTGACTTGTGACATGATTCTTTCAGCAGAGAGACTTCTGAATACAAATTCATGGTTCTGAAATGTAACCAAAAAAAAGTCAATTATATATACCTAACTGGTCAGCAAACAACATGCCAGTTGTTGCAACTTTAAATGCAGTTCTGTAAAGGAGCTTTAGGAATGACACTAAATTTGATAATGGCCTGCGCTCCTCATTACATTTCTTGTTATGGTTAAGGAGAAAAACAGTTCCAACTTCTGAGCGTGCAGGCTCACACTGAGATACAAGGAACAGGCAGATTAATTTCATTAGCATTTATAATAAAGCTATAACAGGCCAAACACTCTCATATATGCTCCTGAAACTCCATCTCCCTGCAGCCACACTGTTGTCACACTTTGAGAACACCAGGGAGGGAAATGGAGCTGGCAAGTGTCACTGGTTCAAAGCGCAAACCGTTCTTCCCTTAACCACACGGGCTTCGCGGAGTTAACAATAAAAACCGTAAAAGCTCACTTCAATCATTGAAGAGATCTGACTCACAAAAAAGGAATCACTATGTTCAGTGAGACGATGTCAGTTGACATAGTTACTAAACCGATCGCCAGAAGCTGGGAAGTTATACTAGCTAGTGTTGCTTTATTTCTTACACTTTTTTTCCCTGATTATCTGCTAACGGCTCCTGCCAGAAGGAAGCTCCTCAGCCAGATGGCTTTTGAGACCTGGTACAGCAGTTTCTGTGTTTTCAGAATAGATACATACTTTTACTAGCATCACAGTCCATGATCCATCAGATCACCAGATGATAATGTAATAATAATAACTTAATGTTGGGGTGCCTGAGTATTATGGTTATTCTGTGGCCATATCTTAACATTATGCGTGTTTTAAGTCTATTTAAAAAGTGTGAAAAGATGAACAGGAGTTACAGGGCACTAATATTAAGGTTGAAATTAAATGAGTATAGGAGTCTTATAAGTGCGGTAGAATATCAATGAGTACTTGAAAATAATTTCGATTTTAACAGATTAAGAAAAATGACCTATTTAAGTGTGGGAAGGAGTAAGACACTTCCTTTAACCCATTTATCAATCAATATAGGATATCACACAAAATAACTACCTGGAGAATAATTTAAGAAAAAAGAATGAAGGTTCTTTTCTCTGGTGATGATGATGTTGAGCTAAAATCTCTAACAGCTCCTGAGCAGAGCCTGCTTACATACGCTCCTAACCAAAGCCAAGTCTGAGAAATCACAAACATATGACAATTTTCCTTCCTGCTGCTAGAAACTCTGCCTAATCTCCGGGCAAGTGGTCCCATTTGGCTCATATTCACAGCCTGAAAAAGATCAGAGTTTCCTATAGCTTAATATAAATTGTATGTCAATTCTGTAAACAGAGGCACTACACGATACCTTCTGGCACGCTTACACCTTTGCAAATGTGCATGTATTTTATGCAAACCAAGCAGTAAGGCACAGAATGTACTATTTCTGCTCTTTTAACCATGCTGGCTAGCCCATTCACTCACCCCAATACTGAAAGTGAGCATTTACGTTACACAATAGTCTTTATTTTGGGTGACTACACGGATCCAAGTACCAAGGAGTAGGCACAGGTCCTCTATGTTACAAATCAGCAAGGAGCTCCATTAATTTCAGCCAACACCAGATCAAGGCAAATGAGGTGAAGGCCTGGGTAATTAGGTATCACATTTACTTCAGTTTCTCCTATGATTACTTTATGCTCCTTTAAACTCAGCTTAAATAAATTCATTCTGGGAAATTTTTTAAAAGAGTCCGCAGTTCACACTGATCCAAAAACGGCTTTTTTTAGGCTAGCAGCACTTTTGCCTTGAGGCACGTGCTAGAGCTAGAATAGGAATCAGTGCTTATAGTTTAGAGAGACTGTTTTACTATCAAACTCAGTGAGTTTGCTCAGTGAGATTCATACAACATTTCCATTGTGCCAATGGGTTTTTTTCAAGAAAAAAGGTCTCTAAATACTGACCCCATGGTACTATCTGACAAACCACTGTTGCGTTTTAAACACAGAAGCAGCAGATGTTTTGTTCCTCATGCCGCTACATAATTGGAAGGTAGTCAGTGGTGTTGCTCATTAGAGAAGGTCAGTGAGATTTAATCTATGAAAGGAAGTGCAACTATTTTTAATCACCATGTCTACTTTATATGATGGTTCCTGTTCAGATGTGGAATCCTCTTTGCAGAAGGTAGATCTCCTGATGAAATCCAAGCAGGAGTCAATGGTACAAGCAAGTTTCTTTTAGTGTTTGTGACACCTATCGGAGATCACATACGAGGCAGGTATATCAGCAGCAGGTTTAAAAGGGATCTTTTGATCTAAGAGCCAAGATCTGGGAATCGGGAGACGTGGATTCTCTTCCAGGAGCTGCAATAAATTTAGCATGTAACAAAAGGCAAGCCGTCGTACCTATAGTCAAAATTAGGCCGGTTAGGCTGAAATATGATGTGCTGTTTTTAACATCTCTCATTCAGTCCTAACCTGTGCTGAGAGCCCCATGACACTTGCAAAAATGAAACTAAGAATTAATAATAACAGGAATCATTGATAAATTTGGCAGGGGGGAGAGTTGTATTTGGTAGAGGAGGGCTGCTTTTTTTTTTTTTTTTAATTCTAACCTATGTTTGTACTTTCCTGTTTACCTTGTCCACATTTGCAATCTATAAAAGGGCATTATGTGCTGGTCATCGCATCTGCTTTTGAGCTAAATCTATGTTAGCATTCCAAAAGGCCAAGGAACTCTTCCAGGGCAAACAACTGCTGAAGCACTGCTGCCAGATGGTATGTATATAAAGGGGGAAATGAGAAAAGCAATTTACTGTGTCCCTGTTCCAGGGAGAAGTATCACCCAGAAGGACAGCAAAAGAGGTGAGAAATTAGTGAGAAAATGTATAGTTTTCTTCTTCTGTAACTTGTTGTTTCCTTTATATCTGAAAAGGCTAGGTATGTAGTCCTTATTCAGGCAAAATTCTGGCAAAAGATAACTGGAGTATTTAACTAAAGAATGAAGTGTTAAATTGATAACATGTATAAAGAAGCATGCTTTGATTTATGTAGCAGGTTTTAGATTTATCTATATAACTCACTAATATGTAGTCTGCATTTGGAGGAATTTTGGCCTCCCAGACAAGACATTCGTATCTTGCATTTTTGACTGAGCTCTACAGAAGAGGTGGAAAATAATCGACCAGATTCTGAAGTATAAATTAGCCAAGCCTCACTGAAGGCAAGTTATCTACTTAATTTATCTAGTTCAGGTGCTGACCACTATTTTACAGTCCACTATTAGCTCACTTGTAGCTGTATTAAATGCATGGTTGCCCCGCATGGAAAAGAACTCTGCAGCTTTTAGAACTAATCAGTCTTTCCTTCAAACCTCATGAAGCAGCCTCTTGGAAGGGTTCAAAGATAAATTCAGGTCAGCGTAAGAAATTTGAAATTTTGAAATCATTTTCTTAAAGAGTTAACTCAATTTTACTACCCATTCTTAATCTATTACTTTAAGGCTTTGCTGTTAGATATATATCTCTAAGTGGAACGTCATGGAAAAGAAATGTATGCACAATGGAAGCAAGAGCGTTCACTCACTGATGCTACTTTTGAAGGAACTGCACAGACAAGCCACAGAAAATCTCTGTTCAGTGGGCAGTGGTAATAAAAATAACACATGAGAAAGAGCAGAAGTCATAAAGAACGGAAAATAACACTGAAAATTATAACATCTTTTCAGAAACAGCATGAACTAATGCTTTTACCACCGGCTGCCGAAGCTCAAAAATATGTAGCAGAAATATGTGTGTTCAGACACGAGCAATGAGAAAAGGGATATTAACACACAAAGGGATGTATGTGTTAATATTTATACGTGCATCTTTGCCGAGCGTATTTTGCTTGAGTATTTGTTGTTGTGTATTGTTTTTTTTTTTAAAGCAGCCCTTC